GTTGCAGAGCGTCCAGGAGACCCTCCGGGGAACCCAGACGGCCCTGCAGCAGCACAAGTGTGTGCTGAGGGAAATCCTAGGGGCCTACCATACCCCTGACTTTGAGAGAGTGATGCAGCAGGTCTCGGAGGCCCTCGAGCTCCCAGCAGGCATTGAAGATGGTGCACAGGCATCCTGGGACTTGTGCCCCTTAGGGGAGATGCTGAGTCATCGGAACACAGCTGGCGCCCAGGAGCCCTTTCACTTGTTGGACCAGAGCTCTGGGGCCCTTGTTGCTATTCAGGAAGAACTTGCCCTGCAGCTGAAAGATAAGGCCAGCCTCTTAGGGGAGATATCTGCCGCTTTAACCTCACTTCCCCCTGTGGAGTCGGTAAGAGATTGCCAGAAGCTTCTCCAGGCGTCCCAGAATCTCTCCTATAACACTTGTTTGGGAGGCCTTGGTCAGTATTCTTCGTTACTAGTTCAAGATGCAATTATTCAGGCTCAGGTGTGTTATGCAGCCTGCAAAATCCGGCTGGAGTATGAAAAGGAGCGCCAGTGCTACGAGGAGTCCCGGCAGAATAGGGTGGCCTCCTGCCAGGAACATGAGCAAGCTGCTGGGACCCTGAGGGAGCAGTACAAGGAACTGCTGCGGAAGCAGAAGAGCGAGTACCTGGAAGTGATTGCCATAATTGAAAGGGAAAACACAGAGCTCAAGGCCAAGGTCATGCAGCTGGACCGTCAGCAGAGGTGTCTGGAAGAAGTAGAAAGCAAACACAGCGAGAACATGTTTGCCCTGCAAGGGAGGTACGAGGAGGAGATCAGGTGTGTGGTGGAGCAGTTGAACAGAGCGGAGAACACGCTGCAGGCCGAGCACAGCAGAGTCCTGAGCCAGCTGGATGCCTCGGTCAGAGACAGGCAGGACATGGAGAGACACCACGTGGAACAGATGCAAACCCTGGAGGACAAGTTCCAGCTCAAGATCAAAGAGCTGCAGACAATCCACGAGGAAGAGCTGAGGACCTTACAGGAGCACTACTCACAGAGCCTGCAGTGCCTGCAGGAGGCCCTCTGCCACTGCCAGAGGCAGCACTCGGAAGCCCTGCCGGCCCCCAGCCCCCCGAGCAGCCCCCACCAGCACCCCGCCTCCAGCTGGACGACTGACCAGCCCAGGGGTGCTCTGCAGGTGGCCGCGGGGGAGGCCGACGCCATGACAGGGCTGAGAGAGCGCATCCAGGAGCTGGAGGCCCAGATGGATGTCATGCGGGAGGAGCTAGAGCACAAGGACCTGGAGGGCAGCACGGCCACACTGCGGGAGAAGTACCAGAAAGACTTTGAGAACCTGAAGGTTTCAAAGCATCGTTCCTTTGCAGAGCAGTCGAGGGGCAGGCATTTTCCTGCTTTTTGGGGGGCAGTGTCTGGCCATCGGGCTCTTGGGGCGGAGCTGGGAGATGGTTCTTTGCTCTGCTCCTCCCTTGATCCTCGCTGGCTGTGGTGCAGTCTCAGGGCAGGGCCTGGGCAAGGGTCTAGCCTCCTGTTCAGTATCCCCCACCTGGAAAGACGACTAGCAGAAGGAGCACAGGATCACTGGCGAGAGAGGGAATGTAGTCTCCCCATTGCCCTCCCTGAAGCAGGCAGCCTCTCCGTGTCCCCCCAGGAGGGGAAGTCTCCACTCTCCCCCTCCCAGCCTCACACCCCCACAGAACTCTGCACCTCCAGGCCCATGCAGACCCAAACCTGAAGGGAAGAGCCCAGGAGAGACCAGCCAGAGGCTCCCCCAGAGGGTCGTCTCCTTCCATCTATACCTGAGAGAGCAGAGCTGGGGTTCCCAAAAGACAGGACTATTTACAAGATGATGTCAAGAGTCACTCTCCTGTCCCAACTCTGTGGGCAAGTGTCATTTAATGGGTGCTCAATGTAAGAAGGCCTTTCCACCATGCATGGCGTTCAGCTGCTAGTATTCCTTCCCCACAAGCTCTGAGAAATGGTCTTTCCTCAGTATCCGTCCCCCCAACTCCATTTCACACACTGCCTCACTAGGCAGAAGACTCAGGCTGTCGCATGCAGAGGTGACATTCCCAGGTCCCTTGGGGCGCTGGGCTATATGGGGCCGTCCAGGTTCTCACCCACCTTCTTTGTAAGTAGAGAAGCTTGTGTGCGCACACGAAGCTGCCCAGAACTTCCCCTCAGCTTTTCGGCGTCGCCCTCACGAGCTGCTCGCTATCCCTGGGAGCCGCACCAGTGAACGCCCAGGCTCCTCGCGAGCCCTCCAGCCCAGTCAGGCCTCTGGGGAGGTGGCGCCTCCCTGAGCCTGCACACAGCTGGCTCCTGGGCTGCAGACAGCTGCTTTGCTGCTCCTGCCAAACACTGTGCTAACACTGCTATTCAGCATGACCTCCATGGTTCTGTTCCCCAGCAGCTCATTCCTCTGGCTCTGAGAGAAAAAGAGAAATATGCTGTCCATCAGCAGTGTGTTCTTCACCTCGGCGTGACAACACAGCCCACTGACTGAAGACAAGCACATGTGGTCACTTGGGCGGCCGAGAGACCATTGTCACTTTTCTTTACCCCAGTCAATCAAAATCTTTTGAGAATCATGAGTCGTGAGAAAGCTTCAAGGGCTGTTTTCCAAAAATACACAAATGATGCCCCTGTGGCAGTCAGTGTAGGTGAGCACAGCATTCCGACGGGCAGGTGCACCTTTAAAAGTAATTTGCACAAACGCTCTTCCCGAGCGCCCTTCCCGCAGAGCGCCCAGCACCTTCCCACAGCATCCCGCAGGGCTCTGAGGGCAGGGTTTGGGCACACACCCCGCCTGCACGGGGAGCCGGGCGCCCCCTCCCCATCATGGCGAACTGCTGCTCTCTGCTCCACCAGAGCCTCCTGCGCAGTGAGGCAAGTCCAGCCCTCACGCCAGCCAGCTGGGCACAGATAAGGCCCAGCTGGAGACAGCACGCCAGCAGTTAGCAAGGAATCAGAAAGCAGAAAACTGCTTTGTGTGGACAGACTGGCCAGAGGTTTTGCTGGGACCCAGTGTCCCCACTGGTGATGCGGGTTGCGTTGGGCCCTCCGGTAGCATTTCTCAGCAGGGCTTGGACGCTGCTGTCCCGTGCTGCGTCTTCAGTCCTGTGCCTGTGAGCATCCAGCCCATCTGCAGTGTTCTCGTTGCCCCCATGAGACGTGCAGAAATTAGAACCAAACACTACTCGTGAGGGGCCTGGCTAAGAGCTATTACTTTGTGAAGGTTTGTGCCCAGGTCAGGGAGACCGCGGTCCTGGCCTGCCAGCTCCTCTTCTGACAGCCACAGGCTGACACCTTCCCTCACAGCTTAACACAGTAGTTGTTGAGGAACTTCCACTGATCCCAGGGACTATTGGCTTAAACATTGAAATTTGTTTACAGATTAATCATTTTTTAACACACGTGCTCTTCAAGGAAGCAGCTGATCTTTAAAGATACCTCAGTGTTTCTGTGGAAAGACTTCTGACCTTCACCTTTAAGTGACCTAAAGCACTCAAATGCAACTAACCCTTATGAGACCTACTAGTTGTGTGTTAACTGAGAAGCCACATGTGAGCCAAAGCCTGCGGGAGGGAAGGCGAGGGCCTTGGGCGGGCCCAGGGCTGGGGCCATGCTCTGGGCTTCCTCCAGCTGTCCTGTGGAAGGAGGGTGGTGAGGGGAGGCTGCCGGCTTCCAGCTGGGAGCCGCCGGGGGGAGGACTGCCCAGAGACTGGTGGACAGCAGTTAAGACCATTTGCCCTGTAGAGTAGATCTGTTGCAGTATAGTCCAGACTGTGACCCTGAGTTTGAAAATACTGAATGGAGGATCTCAGAAAGGCCTTAGTTACTGTGGGGCACAAACAAAGACACCCAAGCCTGATAATTTGATTTCTTGAATCCGTGTGCAGGAAGACTGACCAAACAGTATAGGGTTGGGAGTGGGTGGCCCCTGCATGCTTGCATTTGGAATGTAACATGACCACATTCTTCCAGTTTTTAAAAATCACTGAAAGGCCTGATCCCTAATCTGAAACAGATTGTGCAAAGGATTTAGACAGAAAGTGTGCTTCCATACACAAAAGGGCTGCACACAGCACCCTCACAGCTGTGTGACACACTCACCTGCCCTGTTGATAAGAGTGACTCTGCTAAGCCTTCCCAGTGTGGCTGTGTAGGATGCTTTGAGCCCTTCTCAGGGCCTGCCTGTGTCCTTTCCCCACACTCATGTTCAGGCAGTAAACCAACCCAGGTTGTAACGAGGCACAGACGAGGTTGGAGAGCAGTTCCTCTGTTTTGTGTCTCGGGACAGTTAGTGCAGTCCCTAATTAATTAATGCCCCTCTTTGTACTCCTTCAAGAAAACGGAAGGAAGACGTAGGCTGGAAAGGAGGAGATCATACACCCTAAACTGATTCCCTCAGTGGACACCTGACAGGTTAAATGACCAGGGGAGGGTGGCTGGTTAGTGGCAGGGCCCCCTGGCTCCGTGCACCTCCAGACCCGGTTCTCACGGGTTACACATCATTTGCAGGATGGCCTTGGCTCCCTCCATCTGACAAAGACTCACCCCTGTTCACGACTGTTCATGAAGCACCCGGTGGTGACTGGCACTGAGAGCTGCTCCCTGTGTGACTCAGACCAGATGCAGTGAGGCTTTGCACGTTCCCTCCCTTCCTCTAATCAGTCCTACCTGGCAGTAATGCTGTAAAGGCCCGGGGTTGGCTACTTTAAATTCCACTGCAACCTCACAACCAACTCTTTCCATGGAGAAATGGGATTCAGAACAATCACAGAAATAAGAATTTATAGATGTAAACACCCTTTTCTAAAGCATAAAAACGCCCAGTGCACCAGTGAGAGTCTGCAGACAGCCATGAGGTGGCCTCCCTGGCTCAGTGCTCAGCTTCAGGGAGCATGCTCTCCATACCAGGGAGCCTGGAAGAGCAGGGCTGCTGGTTTATTTCTTAAACAAGACACACAACTTAAAGAAAAAAAATCAATAAAGTCCGTCATATCTTGCAGGCCACGTGCGAGCGAGGGTTTGCAGCAATGGAAGAAACGCACCAGAAGAAGATTGAAGACCTGCAGAGGCAGCACCAGCGGGAACTAGAGAAACTGAGGGAGGAGAAGGACCGCCTCCTAGCCGAGGAGACTGCGGCCACCATCTCAGGTGGGGGTGCGCCTAGTGGCCGGTTTAACTCCAAGGCAGGAAAGGTAGCAGACTTCTAAGCTGAATGCACAGCTCAGAGCCATGAGCGGCCTTCACACTGCCTCACGCTGAGATTTAAGCTTCGTTATCCAAGAGATTTCTTCTTTGACAATTCTCTCCAAGGAAAAGGCTGGTTTTAGGAGACCTTTGAGAGCTTGCAAGCCTAGAGCCAGCGCACCCAGCTACACATGGGGCTGTCCCCAGCCTCATCAGTCTGATCAGTGGCATTTGTCCAACACACACGTGTCAGTGTAAGACCATCTCTGCCTGGCATGCCCTGTAACATGCACAGAGATTCTGTAGCTTCCACCTGGCGGAAAGGCTTTGTCACAGCGCCGGAGTGCTCTCCCCTGAGCAAGCACAATGCTTTCAGCTCTGTGGTGCCCCCCCTTGATGTAGTTATACTTTATAGTGGTTTATAAGTATCGAGAAAATGTACCAGCCTAAAAGCTTGTTTGTTATGTAAACTCATGCTTGAATTTAACATTGACATTTATTTAATTAGTTTGGTTTTCTTCTACCATCAAAAAAATGCACCCGTATCCCTTTTGTTGGGGGGCAGTTCCCTGGGAATTCTGTCAGACTGCGTCTACCTCAGAGACTTGGTTTGAGAGAGGCCAGCTTGAGTACTGATGGATTTAGCATTAACAGAGGGTAGACATCACACCCTTCTGTCGACCTTGCCGGGCCCCGCCCCAAGCGTCTTGGCGCTCATGGGCATGTCCTTGCCTGCAGCCATTGAAGCCATGAAGAACGCCCACCGGGAGGAGATGGAGCGTGAGTTGGAGAAGAGCCAACGGTCCCAGATCAGCAGCGTCAACTCAGACATTGAGGCCTTGCGACGGCAGTACCTGTGAGTCAGCCTCAAGCCCAAGGAGGCAGCCCTGGGGGAGGGGCTGGGGGGAGGGGCTGGTGGGAGGCCCTTCAGGTGGCGAGTGATACCTTGCAAGAGCCATGAAGATGCAGGTCCTGAGGGTGGTGGTAGCGGAGGCCCATGGTGCTGAGGGCAGCTCAGATCCTTTCCTGAGGAGCTGAGCACCGTCCAAGGGTCAGCGAGCCAGTGGCTCTCATGGCCCAGGTGGGCTTCCTGTCACTTAAACAAATAAACAGAAACTAATCACTAAAATCTGAAGGATAAGATGCAGCAAAGGAAATGTTACAAGTACTAGCCGATCTTCAGGGCTGACTCAGAGGCCAGCCCCTGGAGTCCGTTCTCTCTGTCAGCTGCTGCTGCCTCAGTAGCTCGCATGAGGAGGGGACCTGGTCTAGTGCCTGGTGCCTGATGCTCCATGGCTGTGCGTGGCAGAGCAGCCATAATCCCTGTGTTTGTGGAAAAGCATGTGTGCCAATTCCCTTTTCCTAGGCGAGAGAGTGAAGAGCAGACAGCAGCACAGCCGCTCTTGAGTTTCCCTCATAGGACTAACTCCACTGGGAGCCCTTGAGTTGGCTGCCATGGGAGCCATGCAGAGCTAACCTTTCCTGGGGGTCTTTGCACCGGTCTGGAATCAGGGTCCCTGCCTCTCCAGGGCTCCCATTCCGTGCAGTCGCACTCACCTCAGCAAGGGGGGTGACAGGTGCGTGAGGCCCAGACGGCTCGCCCTGAGGCCCCTCGTCCTTGGTTTCACCAGTAGGAGAAACAGCCCTTCTCAAGGAGTCCGGGGTGACCAAGAACGATGTCATCAGGGTTTGATTTTCTGACGTGGACAGAGTTTGGCACTGGGTTATCAGACACAGATCGCCTCAAAAGTTAGTGCTGAAAACAAGTCGTCAGTCTGACTAATCTCAGAAACAGGGTGTTGCTTTGGCACGAGTGACTGAGTTCTCTTCTGATGTCATAAGAGCCATTTTGTCTGTGGGGCTATTAAACTACTTGGAAGAGGACTGGGGAAGGACACAGAATAGATGTCTTTAAGCCTGAAGTACTTTTTAAGTTGTCCCTTATTGAGCTGGGTACAAACTTGCTGAGACAACAGAATGCCTAGGATCTGCCCTCTGTTGCCCAGCTCTCCCTCTTGTGGCTTGTTGCCCTCGAGTTTCACCAAGGGGCCACAGAGCCTTTCAGAGGCCTGGGCCCAGGCGAGGGCAGAGGAGTGAGGTGGCCTCTCCCCAGGGAGGAGCTGCAGTCGGTGCAGCGGGAGCTGGAGGTCCTCTCGGAGCAGTACTCGCAGAAGTGCCTGGAGAACGCCCACCTGGCCCAGGCGCTGGAGGCTGAGCGGCAGGCCCTGCGGCAGTGCCAGCGCGAGAACCAGGAGCTCAATGCCCACAACCAGGTGAGCCTGTGCTGGAGCAGGGGTCAGGCCCCACCTGCGAGGTGGCCCTGAGGTTGCTGAGCCACAGAGTGGGGACAGAAACTCACTGCAGATGGTGGAACCCGGGCCATCCTGCCACAGGGACCCGCAGTTTAGATTTGCACTTTGGTTCTAGCCCTTTGCAGACTCTCAGAGGTCTCACTTCTCCTGAGCATCTCTGGATTTTTTGGTTTATCGTTGCTGGGCAGGGTCTGGGAAGGTCATTGTACCTGGTCCCGGCCTCCCATCCCCAAGGCTGGGACCGTGTTTAAATGTCTCCCAGTCAAGACCATACACTGTTCATGTTTATTTTTGTCAGATTACTCTCTTAAAATTTGCCTTCTCCTCAGAATATTGGGGTGCATTTAAAATCTGGGCTAATGGAAAGGCTCGAGGTAGGTTTAGTTTGATAAAGGCTTCTCTCTGGGTACCAAGTTAGACCACCATCCACTCATCCTCCCCAGCACAGAGCAGACAGACCTGTTGGCCTGGTCCAGGCTTGAGGCTTCTGTGGGCCCAGGCCGCCCTGTCTGAGGACTGGTGCAGTGCAGTGCAGTGCAATACAGTGGCCTAAGATGACCACTTATCAGTTGGAAAGAAGGTACAGAAAGTGAGCTGGGGGCGGGGCAGGAGGCCCAATCCTGCAGAGACTCAAATGGGACAAACTGTAAAACGAATTAACCGTAGTTATGTTGACAGAAAGGGATTAAGGATTATGGAATTCTGCATACACAATTCTACAAATATTACAGAGCCACGTGAACAGCTTTTGTAGGGGTGTAAAGTGCAGGTGGTGACAACCTTGCATGTTAATCTAAAATGTCACGGTGTGACAGCACTGCTCGCGGCCTCTGCGCTTGCACTTCTCTGCCTGTTGAGGAGAAAACGACCTGTCCTCATTATGTTGTGTGATTGTGGCCCCTAGCAACTCTGCTGAGCATCCCTGTTGTGTTGTGTTGCTGTCCCCCAGGAGCTAAACAACCGCCTGGCTGCAGAGATCGCACGGTTACGGACGCTGCTGACGGGGGACGCCGGCGGAGAGGCCACTGGCTCGCCTCTCACGCAGGGCAAGGACGCCTATGAGTTAGAGGTACTGCTCAGAGCCAGGCCCCCTCTTTACCCAGGTCTGTACCACACCAGCCCTAAGTGGGGGCCAAGGAGTGGCCCATAGTTTACAGTATCATTGCAGGGACAAGACTCGGAGACAGCAGGAGGAAAAGAACATGGAAAGATCCGAACCACCCCAGGACAGCAAGAGAGAACAGTTAGCTGCCAGGCAGTGTGGGATCCATGGCAGCAGTAGGGACCCCTCACAAAGCTGCGAGGACCTTTAACCCCATCCTCACTCACCTCCCCTCTCCCCTCTGTTTCTGCCACCAACACTGACCACTTGAACACTGCAGCTGCTTGAGATTCTGTAATACCCTGTTACTAAGGATCAACAAGGTTCATTTTAAGTCAGAGTGATTGATTTTTTCTTTTTTCTATAAGATTGGCACCTGAGCTAACATCTGTTGCCAGTCGTTTTTGTTTTATTCCTCCTCCCTCTCCTCAAAGCCCCCCAGTACATAGTTGTATATTCTAGTTGTGAGTGCCTCTGGTTTTGCTATGTGGGACGCCGCCTAGGTCCGTGCCCAGGATCCGAACCGGTGAATCCCTGGGCTGCTGAAGCAGAGCGTGCCAACTTAACCACTCGGCCTTGGGGCCGGCCCCAGAATGATTGTTTTAAAATGTAAACCGCATCCTTCTTATGACAGCACTTAGATTTCTCCCCGTTCAATTAAAATTTCATCATGAAAATGCCTCTTACTAAATGATGTGGGAGAGGCTGAGTTCAACAAAAACTTGAATAGGATGCCTGGGCTCAGTCCCAGGAGCTCACCGTGGTCCCCAGACTGAGAAGGAAAGTTCTCAGGTCCAGGAGGAGTCACAGAAATTTCTTTCCTCCGGCTTCTATTTTGGTGTGCACTCTCTAAGCTGCGAGCAGTGTTTCTGTTTGCTGGCATTTCAATGGAACATGAGAAGAAGGTTGCTGGCACACCCTGCGTGGAAAGGAGTTCTCTGCTGACTCTCAGCCTCTGCTTTTGAGACTCTGGAGGTCCCTTTGCTCCTGACGTCAGTCCCTAATTTCTCTCTCTTCTAGGTCTTATTGCGGGTCAAGGAATCGGAAATACAGTACCTAAAACAAGAGATCAGCTCTCTCAAGGATGAGCTACAGACGGCACTGCGGGTAATAGCACACCACCACAGGGGTGGGCCTGGAGAACAGACCTCAGGGGGGGTAGGGACAGAGACTCTAGAACTCACAGAGGTCCTTGCACGCTCCTGTCATAGGCTATTCTAGGGTAGATTTCATTTTCATGAGGAATGTGGTTTCAAACTTGAGTTCTCTTAAAACGCCAGCCTGCAAGCAGATGTAGTCAAATTAGGGAGCCCACCTGGTCTCACCGTGTCCTTGCTCTTCTTGTGCCCCTCTGTGCTTTGGTGGGGCAGTGAGACTCGAGAGAAGCCTCTTTCTGGGAAGTGAGAGTTTGGCCAGGCCTTCCAGTTTCCTCCAGGGCGTTCTCAGAATCAGAGAGGAGCTGACAGAATCCCTAGTGGCCATTCTGGCTCTTAGGAAATCCAAGACAGTAAGGGGATTCTCCAGGCTGAAGCCGCAGGGAAGCCCTCAGGGGTCAAGGCTGCACCAGCCTGGTGGGCAGCCCAGGGCACTGCTGCGCCTGCACTTGTCTGAGCTCCTGGGGATTCTGTAGCATGTTCAGACGGCGACTCGGGGCTGTGCCCATTTTACTTTGTGTCCACTTCCTGCCTCTGGAAGACAGGGTTGACCTGCCTCCTCTGCTGCCAGTGGCACACCCCCATCAGTCCCCAGACGCGTCGCAGCCCTGGGAGACAGACCACCTCGCCTGGCTATAATTACCATTTGCTCTGTCCTCTTATCCCCAAGGACAAGAAGTACGCTAGTGACAAGTACAAAGACATCTACACAGAGCTCAGCATCGTGAGGGCGAAGGCTGACTGTGACATCAGCAGGCTGAAAGAGCAGCTCAAAGCAGCGACGGAAGCCCTGGGTGAAAAATCCCCCGAAAACACTCCTGTGTCAGGATATGGTGCGTTCTTCAGGCTCTGGGTTACGGCTCAGTAACTCATGGGGATTCAGTCATAGAGTTACTGGCACTTTATTCAAAGCAGAGGAATACTGAGTCTGTTTTAGACTCACATTCCTTCACAGAGAACAGCAGAGTGGCGCTAGGCCCAGGGCTGGCAGGCATCCTGGTTTCCACGTGGCTCTCCTGGGTCGGGAAGCCATTTTCCTCTCGGCAAGCGGGTGGCAGACATTGTATCTGTTGCTCTTTGAGGGGAAATCACACTATCAATGTGTACTTTCATAGTAATAACAATTTGCATTTTTCTGTTTTCATAAAGAACTCAATAGTTTGATGGAAGCAGCTCTCACTAGTTGCTTGATCCTGGGTTTTTACCATAAAATCTGCAAAAGGCCATGTTGGCAGAGGGGAACAGGGGAGGATGCTCCCTACTGGAAAGATGTCCTAACTCACTCAAGGATTAGTGATAGTGGCAGTGCTGATAGGTGGGTGGAGAAAAAAACATTTGCATCGCTGCGGAGAGGACAAGTTAGCAGTCTTTCCGGGAGGCCACAGGCTGTTTGTTGCAAAATTTAAAATCGAGCTATAGACTCACTTTGGAAGGGTAACAAAATGGTAAGAGTGGCTGCGTCTGAGGAGGAGCCCGGGATGGCCAGGGACAGTGGGAGAGGAAGACGTGGAATTAGGGGAGACAGCATATGTCCCATGACTACCGAGTAACTTCTGAAAAAAGCAAGGGAGTAGAAATGTGCAAACAAGGATATTTAGCACTTGTATACAGGACAAAAACTGGATTCCCCCTCCACAGTCCTCTATTTGTATCAAGTGTTTGTAGCAAATGAATGATGATTTAAACTGCGGCATCATTACAGGATGAAGTGCTGTGTGCAGTGCTTAAAAGCCGTCACGGGGATGTTTCTGCTTTGACATGGAAAGAGATCCATAAGTACATTAAGTTTAAACAAAGCCCCACAGCGGGGCCGGCCCCAGGGCCGAGTGGTTAAGTTCTTGCGCTCCGCTTCACCGGCCCAGGGTTTCACCGGTTCGGATCCTGGGCTCGGATATGGCACTGCTCATCAGGCCATGCTGAGCTGGCATCCCACATAGCACAGCCAAAAGGACCTACAACTAGAATATATAACTATGTACTGGGGGGCTTTGGGGAGAAGAATAAAAAAAAAAATTGGCAACAGATGTTAGCTCAGGTACCAATCTTTGGAGGCGAAAGAAACCCCATAGGCGCAGGATACGTGGTATGTTATAACCCCATGTCTATTTGTTTAGGTAGCCGTGCTCACCAAGTCTAAAGGACTGTATGCCAAACTAAGAGTTGTTGTCCAGTGTGGGTGGGTTATGTGAAGGGCTTGCTCTTACTGTTGTCTCCCAACAGTCCTGGGCTCCCAGGAGGAAGGCAGGGAGAGGTGAATAATGGGGTTACCAGGTGCGCTTGGCAGTTCAGGTGCAGCCCCGGAGCGAGGCATCCCAAGCCCTCCCCACGGAGAGCGCTGCCCACCTCTGCAGCCGGAGGCCCCCACAGACAGTCTCCGGTTGTTCTCACGCTTTCAGTTGTTCCAAAAAAGATGTCAAGGGTTTTATGGTTATTGGCTTTGAAGCCCTTAAAGTTCTCAAAGGAAACGTCATCAGTGTGTGGTGACAACAATAAAAACTTGGGAAATTTTTAAACATCAGTTTGGTTCCAGAGGGTTTTAGGAAAAAGTAATGGGTTTGTGTGTTCCTTCAGATATAATGAAATCTAAAAGCAACCCTGACTTCCTGAAGAAAGACAGATCCTGTGTCAGCCGGCAACTCAGAAACATCAGGTCCAAGGTGAGCCTGGAGTCCAGCCCCTGGGTGTGGGGCTCATGGTCAGAGCCCACCACGGGCTTCAGCGGAGGGTCCCCATGGTCCCATACTCACCCAGCCCCACACATTTACCCTGCTGGGCCAGTTCTGGTGGCTTCAAGCTTTGTGTGTCCTTCGTGCAGCAGTGGAACCACCTCCTGACAGTGACAGTTGAGGGGCCAGGCCTACAAGAAGTAGGGCTGGAAGCAAATTCCACCTTGGACCTCCAAGGCTGGATTCACCCCAGCCCCCTCCTGTGTCAGTCCCGCTGCGTCTGTACTGTTCCTCACACATCCCTAGTTTAACACTGACGCCGTCTGCCTTCCAGAGAGGAAGCTGCCTGCACCCCTTGCCCCCCGACCACGTAGTAACAAATCCCCAGCGTGCGTCCCCCGCCCCCTGTGCGCCTCCCCACGGGAAGGACGGGCGGAGGGTGGGGAGTGGCAAGCATGCTGCACATAGGATTTATTGTGTGTGTGTCTTATTTTTTTGCTCTTTCCTCTGACAGTCCGTAATTGAGCAGGTCTCATGGGATAACTGAAACGAGCCCGCTTCCAGGTCCCCTGTCGTGTAGGTAAACCACCTCTCACCACCCACCCACCTGCCACCCTCGAGGGGGTGCATGCTACCTGCATGCACTGCTCACACCTCCATAGCAAGCTCCTTGTTTTATTGTTACTTTATTTAAAATTCATCCTGCTCCAGCAAGCACATACACAATCCAAGTGAAGTTTCTTTAACCTGTTGTAGTGAGTTAACTGGCACTGTAACCTCTTAACAGAGTTGACCCCCTGCACAGGGGAGCTCCCCTCCCAGCTTGGTGGGCTGGCTCACAGAACCACCATCTCGGGTGGGCGCAGGCATGCGAGCAGCTCCTGGCACCGGTCAGCATGCACGTCCAATGATCTGTGTACCCCACATTCTCTGGGGAAACCCCTCTTGCCCTCTGTCAAGAGTTGGCCTTGGCAGATACCTGGCAGCAACTGATAAGCAGGGTCTCCCATCACTGAAGAACCGCCCCCTACCCAGTTAAAAGGCCGAGGCAGGGCTGAGCCCAGGTATTCAGGGAGCTGGTCCCTCAAGGGCGGAGCTCAGGAAAATGGCTCACTAGAGCAAGATGACTATAAGGGATTGGGCTGAGTGTTTACCAGCACTGTTTTCTTTAAACAAAGCAAAAGCTTCTCATTGGGTGCCATTGAAGGCAGTGTTATAAAGAAAGGAGGTGGAGGGACTGACATGCTGGCTGAGAAACATCAGCCCGTTTGAAAATGAACACGAGGACAAAGGGTCCCACGCCTGGGCACTCCCTGTCTTCATCCTGGTCACGTGCTCGCTCACTCCAGAGAGTGATTCCCCAAGGAGAAGATTGAGGATAGCAGGAAGGACATGGGGCTGGGCCAGGCTCCCAGCAGAGGGGACGCTGACGTGGCCTCAGATGGCACTGGCTCCTTTTACTCACGCACCCACAGCTCACCCTCAGGTGGGATTCGAGTCCTCCGTCCTCGGCTGAGGGGCTTCAGCCCAAGGCTCGGGTGAAACAAGTTTGCCTGAGGAAGAGCTTTAAGAAAATCCAAGTATTTTAAACCTGGCCAGTTTGGTTTCTACAGTCCCACGTCACTTACAACCAAATACGGTTTAGGCTTGATTGAAAACTTTGGCCTTTTTTCTTTAAACATGAGAAAACATTCTATTTAGGAAAAGGAAAACTTGTTCTTTGGTTTATGGTTTTCTTATTGAAGATTCTCCTTCCATCCGAGGCTGAACTGTAGCTGCTGTCAGTGCTCTGGCCCTTCTGCTCATGCCTGTACATGGCAGGCGAGGACCCTTCCGGGGAAGCTTGCTGCAGTGTGCCGACCCCATCAGGACAGAGCGTGTGTCGAGAGGGTGTGCATCCCTCAGAGAAATGAAGAATACATGGGGCTCTGGGCAAAAGGCCAGAGCGCCAGGGGACAGCTTTGGCAGCAGGGCCTCTGCAGTGAGGTGCACCGGAAAACCTTTCACCTGGCCAGGAAACAGCTGGAGCAAAGATGGATAGTGACAAAACTGTCAGGACACCCACAGACGTCTGTCTTGGCCTCCAGGGTGGCCTCTGGCTCTCAGGGCCAGAACCCAGACACGGGTGGAAAGGAGCCCAGGGTGGGATCCCCAAGTAGTGTTTGAGTCGCGTTTGGATTGGCCACGTTTCCAATGTAGGAAGAAAGCCCTTGGTGTGCGGGGACAGCCCTGCTGGCCTGAGCAGAAAGAGGGGCACCTTGCAGCCATCCGTGGGGGCCCCTGCTGTGAGGCGGGTGGAGCCAGGCTGTGGCAGATGTCAGCAGGCACTCAAAGGGCTGTGTGCCGTCCTCTCCCTGATTGTATTCGGAGGCACCCCAACAGGAAGATGGGAACGCAGTTACCGAGAAACACCCTGTCAGTGTTGCTTTTTGATATGGGATCTGATATGTCTGGATTTATATCTTTCATTTCTGTTCTGTTTCTGTATCCTGCCTCACTCAAAAGAATAGACCATCTCAGCACCCATAAAATCTAAGTAAGCTCGTTGCTGAAGAGCAGCACAGCTTTCCTTGGACTGAGGCCAGAGAGGGTGCTTCCCACAGGCTCTTCACGGAGGCCCACGGCTGTTGGTCTGAGTGTGGGGTCACAGAGGCGTTTGGTGGAGAGACTGGCTCTGTGGGAAGAATGAGCCCCAAGGGAGCCAGCTGTACCCCTTCTCCGGGTGTGTGGGGTCAGTGTGGGGTTTGCTTACCTTTCCACCCTCAGAGCTGTAGTGTGTAGCAGTGTGTGGCACTGAGCCTGCAGCCCTAGGCCACCCCTTGTCACTCTGCGCTCTGGCTGCCTGTCTCTGAGCACAGCAGGGACTGTCACTTGAGGGTGTCTGATAGTGCATGGAGCAAACACACCCAGAGGCAGGACACTTGCTGTCCCTCGGGTCTCAGGGGTGGCAGTTCACTGCCATCCAGAGGGAAGGTCCCCAGCTAGAACAAAGTGGTGTGCCATGTGGTAGGGCCTGCCTGTGAGCTAGGCACTTCGATGCGGGCCCTCCTGAGGCATGGCCACACACATGCCTAGCAGCTGTACGAGACCGACTGCTGTGCACCTGAAGCACATGCACTCGGGAGCAGGGACTCCAGAGCATTGGAGGCAATTGTGTGCATTCAGGGGAGCTCAGGTTCAGAATGGGATGTGGGTTCGCCTCACCCTCCCACCCACTTAGTGGCAAGTTTCAAAAGTGACCTTAACCAACTGCTTACATGGAGCTCCCTCTGAACCAGTGAACTTCAAAAAGTTTAGCAGTAGAGCCCTTTTTAAAAAAATATTTGAAAAGTATTCATTTACACACACACACACAGCTGCACGGTATAAAACCTAAACAAGCAGAGCTGTTGTTGGTGAAGCAGGTGGGGGACACCAGACCCCCCCCCCGTTCCCTCACACCTTGGAGGAAGCTGGGTCCCACAGACCTCACTCAGACACCCTCTCTGAAGCAGCAGGCTGAGTGGCTCCCGGCCCCTCCACAGCGTCGGGAGCCCCAGGACTGAGGCAGAGCTGCAGGCGCTAGGCTGGGCTCTCCGGGCCGTGAGCAGCACGGTGCTGCCCCCGACACCGACCTCACGGTGCTCTGAGTTTTGGCTAAAACTGCTGTCATCACTGGACCCGGAGCCTGGCACAAGGCCTTTATTTGTGTTTCCTAGTGGAGCCTGTACCTGTGGGCTGCAGCGCACACCAGCCAGGCACTGGCAAGGCTGGGCCTGATGGTGACTCAGGCCCCAGGCCATCCCCGCCGTGTTGGGATTCCACTCACTCCCAGGCATGCCCTGAAGTGATAGTCCTTTTCTCGTCCAGAAATTAAGTCTTTGGGGAAAGCCTCCAGGAGTGAAATGGGAAGCGTTCTGTCCTCCAAAGAGCACAGTGTCACTCGTCTCGGGACATACACATTTCAGCTTTGCCAGGGGCCCGTGTGAACAGGGTATTGGTTTTACATTCTGAAAATCTTAGTAAATGTGTTGACGTGTTCCCAAATTCCCACAACAGTAAATCTAACAGGGTTTCTGATGAGTTAGCCCCAAGAGCAGGGCTGAGGGAAGCAGGCATGCCAGCGACACCCTGGGCGCTCTTGGGCTGCTCAAACGAGCTCTCAGCTTAACAAAGAGGAGCCAGCCATAGACAGGTCTGCGTGTAGAAGGACGTAGCTAGGCGGTTCTCGTTCTTGGCAGTCTTCCTTCCCTGGCTGAGGTGGTCTGATAGCTGCTTGTCTACAGAGCCCTGAGCTCAGAATTCAGCTCCTCACACACTTGGTCTTGTTTCTCTGGTTTTTTTCCTTTTTCATCCAGATAACACCACCATATCACAGGGAACATCTCTCCTTAGCATGCCCCACTAATCTCAAGGCGCCCTTCCCGCCCGCCCTCCACCCTGGCACCTGTGCCTCTCTGCCCTGCCTGCAGCTGTCCGCAGCAGGGGGCTTGGTGGGTAATGGCTTGTTTTTTCTCTCCTGCTCTCGTCTCCACCCAGAGTCTGAAGGAAGGCCTGACGGTGCAAGAACGCTTGAAGCTCTTTGAATCCAGGGACTTGAAGAAAGACTAGCTGTGTCCCACTCGACTTGAACCACACCCTTCCCAGCTTGCGGCAGCACACCCCAAGCGCTGCTTTTTGTCTGTACCTTTATTTTTTTTTATTATTATTATTGTTGTTATTGTCATTAACTGTGGGTGTGGATGCATGAGAGACTGGTTTACGAGTTGTTCACACCACTCCCTGCTGTGTTGGTTCCGACTTCCTGTTGTCTTTATCAAAGCTTGTCTCCACGGTATTCTAAAATCAGCCAAGCAGTGGGGGCCCGTCAGGTGCGCAAGGCCCCCTGCCCGCTGCGGGCCGCGGCACTTATGGCAGTATTAAGGCTGGCCACCTGTCGGCAAGCCCGCTCTGCCTCGCGGTGCGCTGGGTGGGACCAGCCGGGCGAGTCCCTAGGAGAGAGCAAGCCACCCGACCCGACCCATGCGGCCTGGGTCACAGCACTGACGACTCGCTAGCCTGCGGGGCAGCCAGGGGGCAGGGCTGTCACCTTGAGTGGCCGCCTTTTGGCTTGGGAGGACAGCATTTTGTATTGTTCCACTAATGCACCCCAGAACCACACCCCAGGCAATCACGGTAAACTTTCACAACCTGGAAAATGTTGAAAGCAGCCATTCCTATTTTTGTTTGTTTTTTATTAAATCTTGCACAAAACCCCAGCCCCTCTCATTCCTTCCTACGCTCGCTCCTTGGTCACCAGTGACCTTGGTCTTTTCATAAGTCCTTCAGCCTGCGGTTTCAGACTGTGAGTGCAGATAACGATGCAATCCCTCGGAGTCGTTGAAGGAGAAAGTGTCCATCTCTTTAACCTTGCTGGAAAGAAGCCTCCACCTGGGCTTTGGAAAGGTTGCGAGGAGACCTCTACGTTAAGTCAGGAAGAAAGTACAGAGGATGTTAGAATCAGATGAAAACTGCCCATTATTTTGTGTTCTTAACTCTCATTGATATGAGCTCCGAAAAGTTGTCTTGCAGCACTTAGAGAGCCTAAAGTAAATCTATACTAACAAATTTGCTTTTTCTAACAGTTTAAGACCTTAACTGCCACAAAACACTCTACAGCACTTCTTAAAAATCTCTTAGAGTTTGTATTATGGCTCCATGAACACTATTCATCCTGTAGAGACAAGGGATATAAACAAGCCCTAGCTGAGTGGGACCAGCTCTGCTACCCCCGGAGTGAGGGGGACATATCCGAGGAGACCGTTCAGAGGAAGTTGTTCTGTTCTCACTGTGTCCCGCTGTGGGCCCATCCATTTTATTGCCAAGAGCATGCTTTCTGTATGAATGCTTGAGCTAGTGTGACAGTCTCTGGGTACATGGACACTTTGGGGGTGAAAATGTAGAGATCATCTTGCTCGGTTTCTAGATTTAAGTTAATGAACAAGGTCATGTGGGAAAAGTCCTGGAAGAGCGAGACGGAAGGCCCCGGGCTGGTTGTGAACCTCCTGCTGCCGTGCTGCCTTCTCACAGAATGAGTGCAGAGCCCTCACAGCACCGAGCCGCCTGTTCGCCAGCTGCTGCAAGTCTTAGCACACTGGTCACTCCTTTGCTACTATTTTTCCATGTTTTTAAAAGCAAGAGAGTATTTGCTCTTTTTTAAGTCTACTTATCAGACACCTCCACTGTGTGGACTAGCAGTGTTTTTAGAGAGAACCGTGACCTTTTTGTGTCATGCTCAGAATGGGAGTCCACAGAAGGAGCATTTGGGATCCTGGGGTCCAGAGCACTGTTTGAGCACGTGTCCTCTGGGGCAGAGCAATGCGATGTTCAGCAGGTCTGATGGGCCGGGCTGCGTTGCCAGCCTCTGCACAGGCTGTCTGGGCACCGTGATTTCATGTCATTCCTTCAGAGAGCTCGCCCCTCCAGCTTGTTTCCTTTGTGACTGCCCTTGCTGCCCCTGGGGGCTCTCTGAGCCTTCTCCAAGCAGCCCCTCCGCCAGCCCTCCCAGAGGTTTCCGGGCAGGGTCGGTGCACAGCATGGGCTCCATCTGCACAGACTGTGCTGTGCAGGCTTGCAATCTGCAGTGCTTTTGAATAGGTCAAAAGAGCGTTTTATTCACTTGTTTACATCACGTGTCCCTTGAGGTCGGAGCTCAGGAGTCCTGGGGAACCAGTGTGTTGAGTGCAGCATTTGGGGGTCAAAGGCAGAGGCTGGGGAGGCAGCGCCTGCCACTGCAGCCTCCATAAAGGCCCCTGCTGCTCGTCCTGGAGACAGCGGGCCTTCTCCGGGGCTAGCTCAGTCTGGGGGTCACCAGGAAATGGACTGCACACGCTAAGCCAGCTGAGAACCGGGGCACTCTGGCTCCTCTAACAAAAGGCTGCTTCTTCTGTAGCCTCCCCAGAACGCCCTGAACCTGCGCTGGCGTTGCGGGTGTCATTGTAGTGACAGCTACTGTCTGGCTCAGAACCAGGTCTGAGCTTCCTGCTGATGGGTGCCATCCTCTGGCGGAGTGAGCAGGCAGGACAGAATAAAGAGAGAGTGTGCTCACCACCCTCGTGTCCCTGCCATGCACAGTGTCTCTGTGTGTACCGTGCAGGCTCCCAAGCCCCTGGGAGGAAGTCAGCCACCGAATTCTAGAGAAGAAAGAGTAAAAACGTGCGAGTCAAGGTGCTTTCTGTATTGGGGGACTGGGCCGCCTGTGGACAGGGTCGTGGGGAGGGCTTGCCCGTGCACACCAAGCAGTGAGAGTGCCCCCACTTCCCAGGGGAGGAGAATGTTAATATGGGTTGATTTCACACTTGTAATTATCTTCCTGTAAATGTTTACTATTTCATTTGTAATTGCTTGCACCTATAAAAAGGCCGTGCCAAACACATCAGTGGGAAATGGAGCGGTCGGAGTTCATTTGGTTTTGAGCACTCGCACAGAGTGGCCACTTTCTGCTAGCCAAGTTCCTTTCTCAATGCGTGTGGTGCCTGTGCCCGAATAGGCTTGAACACTAGCATTCCAGATGACGGTGGGTGGCTGCAGCCACCCTGGCAGAGGTGTGGCAGCATGTAGGGTGAGGTGGTGGGCAGGGCACTTGGCCATTGGGAACTGAAGCTTGTGCTATAAGGTGTCAAAATGAGTCTAAATTTGTGGGAGGAAGGGATGGCAGCCTGGGACTGTGGAGGCTGTGTCGGGAACGTGTGGGTTTGTCAAGAGCTAAGATCAGAGGCCCTCCCTCCACTGCCAGCAGGTGGAGAGGCAGGGAAGCGGGGAAGGCCCTGGGCTCTGGCTCCTTCTGTGGACCCCATGAGGCTGTGTGGGCCGTTCACTTGCTCACTGAACCAACAGCGAGGCTTTGGAGGCCTTGCACAGGCCAGACCAGGGAAGAGAGGGAACTGCAGCTTTTCAAAAGACAATTGTGACACTTGGAGCCTGCCTGAAAGGCATTCAGAGGAAACAAAATTGATGGCCTAAAAAACATTTTTATGGAGATGTATTTAATACCATTTATCTCACCACAGAAGTAAATGGAACACTAACTTGTGGCCTGAGAATGGAATGTGACCCTTTTTATCACTGCTGCCTGGTCGTCCCTTTACTGAGTCTGTTTTTAAGCTTGTCCTGTGGGTGAGGCACCATAGTGCCTGTCCCAGCCCCATGGGGTCCGGAGGCTGAGCAGCAAAACTGTGACCCCTTTTCTCCAGCTATAGAGTGAGGAGGGTGTCCTTGGGCCCCCACCAGCTCTAGCAATGCAGTACTGCGGGCAGCCGCCTGGATGAGCCACAGGCAGTGTATTCTTAGGAAAGGGTTCTTCCCTCCCGCACTTGCTGGTAACTGGGCCCGGCTCCTCAAGGCCCAGGGCTGGGACGAGCAGCCCACTCAGCTTATAGGACAGCCTGTGGCCTGACATCAGCGTCGGGGAGAGCTCTCCACTCCTGCTCCTTGGTGCCTGCGTGATTTCTTCACGGCTGACCACACACGCATTTCCTCCTGCCACTCGTTCACTCACATGTCCACGTTCTAAGACAGTTCTTCTCCAGGGCTTCAAAGCTGTGTTTGTTAAAGTGAAAAGAATGCAACCCTCGACATTTATTTTCCCTGAAAATAAGTTTGCTCATCATTGTCCTAAAGAAGCTTGAAACTTAACACTATCCTTGATGGACACAGTTTCAAAAAAATAACTACAGAATAAAATGACCCCTTTTAAGTAAGATAGGGGAGGAAATTTAAGTATTTTCAAAGTTTTATAAAGCACAGGGAAATCTGTAGGAGTATACTTAAAGGAAATTAAATACTGAAAGAAAAAAAAACTTTGGCCCGTGAATTGGAAGCCTCACCTCTCTGGGAACGTCAGTCATCGGAACATCTCACGGCCTGAGAACCCGGGAGGTCGAGCTGGCGCGTGATCTGTGCTCAGTGGACGGTGCTCTGTAGACGCGTCCGACCGGCTGCCCTCGCGCTTCTCCGCGCTGAGCTCAGTGAACAGTTCTCAGTGCCCTGGTCCAGGAGCCTCCGCCTGTACGAAGGGGCTTGGGAAGACAGCTGCTGGCAGTTTATTCTAAAGGCTCTTCAAGGTATTTGCACACCATTTTTGTTCATCTTTCATCGTAGGCTCTTCTACCTGCTGTCCCTGAGAGGGGAACTGCTAGGGTGCTCAGCTAGAGCATTGCGCTCGCACTCAGCGAGCACTGAGAAACCGCCACTGGCTCTCCCCAGACTTCACACCTGGAAGTTCACCAGAGTGCAGACTCCCCTCTGGCCTTCCCACGCCACCAAATCCCTGAAAGGTCTGAGCCCAGACATCAGCCTCCTCATCCTAGGAAAGGTCTGAGCCCAGACATCAGCCTTGTCATCCCAGGAAAGGTCTTTTCACGCACCTGAGATCAGGTCAAAAGGTCGAGTCCTTCACTGTTCTCAACATCAAGTAGCAGGACACCAGGATACCGTGGTCCTCCCACAGCAGGCCAAGGCCATCAGGCCTCACACCACTCTTAGGAGATGAGCATCCATTATGTGCAGTTTTGTGTGTTTTACGCATGTACAGACACTTCTGGCAAGATGATACTTTGCACAGTTCAGAATCAGCTTGAAGAGCAGTCTAGTAAAACCACTCATTTTGGGTTCTTAGATAGGATGACACGACGTGAGCCCAGTACGGAAATGAACGTTATCAGTGCCCTTTGAGAACGGTGAGTTTCCAGCACTCATGTTTCTCCAGAAAGGGCAGCGGTCTCCCTTCTCCAAAGTCTTTCCCAGAAGAGTCACCAGAGCCGGAGCGGAAGCCCGCCACGAGCCACACGCCCCTGGGGCGGGACAGTGACCTGCTGCAGCGCGTCCTTGGGCCCTCCCTCCAGTTCACACGGGACTTGGTGAGGACATAAGCTACTGCACGCTCAGTGTGGCTTCCAATTCCTCTGTATTTGAAAGCAGCTGTGTGTATTTTCCTCAAAATGCCCTCTATATTCAGAGCAAGCAGTGTGAATATCACTCAGAAGTTACTACAGGGATTTTTCTGACAAGGTTTGTGTGGGTTTTTAAAATCTTATACAAACATCCCTTTTTAAGATAAGAGAACAGCTTTGGGTACAACATTGAACTCCACCCAACATGATAAGGAAATGTTTTTAATGCCTGATAGATCTTTTTAAAAGCTTTGGTCATTTAACGGGCAGTTTCAGAGACTACACAGTATCTAAACTAACGAGAATCCTGCACCCAGACACTGTTCTTCATTGACAGAACTCTGTAATCCTTGTTCTTGGTAGAGCCCTTCAGAGTCCTCGAGGAAAGTCAGAAGAACACGGTAGTTCCATCCTGACCAGATCCTTTACGTAGTTCTTAAGGCTTGTCGGCGACTTAGTGCGCAGCACAGTGCGTCTAAATAGGAGTCAGGAGTCTAAATGGGTGACCTCGGGCTGCTTACGGGCAGGCCTGCAGGTGGAGTCCAGCCAAGCAGCTTCCTCACCCCAGCTCTTGGGTTGTACTGCCATAACAGCCAGGTCGCAAAACTTGAAAGGCTCCTATTGTACAACATGTGTCTGTCTGGTAAGGAAACATTCAGTCACCAGATACATGTGAACTGGACCGTCAGTCCTGTAGGATGCCCTGGGAGGGCAGTGAAGTCCCAGGGGAGTGAGCCACGTGTGGGTTTGAGCTCATCGAGAAGTCACTAGACACAGCTGCCTGCTGCCTGTTACGTGTCCCGCACCCTTTACAGCCAGTTGTATGACATACTTCAGTTTTATTTTATAGAAAGCTAGGACTAGATTATAAAGAACACTAAACGCATTATTGTGCTATGTTAATATCACAGAACTTCCATTAAAATGGATTTTAGGATTTACCTTGAGTATTGATGACTAATTGTTAGGATTCAAAACCAGTTAAGTGATAAGAATCAATTGATGTGGTTTTCCTAAGTAAGATTCATAAAACGTGAAGTTTCTAAGTGGCTCCCCAACAATTAGAATTCTTCATGACTTTTCTTACAAATAAACTTCTATCAGGGTCAATGTCTCAATTCAGCTACTACAGACAAAACGCTACGCCAGACTGTCGGGGGAGCCGACACACGGACAGAGTGAGAGGTGCAGACAGGTCTTTGTGCTGTGGCACATTTGGAAACATTTCACAGCAGTCGTTTCTGCCACAGCTAATTATTTAATAGTCAGGAGAGATGTTCCAAGAACAAGCTTGTGTAGTTTTAACTGGCATTTAATTTCTGGACTGACGCTCAGTGAAGCTGTTCAGCAGACTGACAGTCACCTGCAGGAGAAAGCAGAGGCCCGAGAGCCCGGGTCACGCCTGACACGCTGCCCGGCCCGGCGGAGGGCCCGGGGCTGAGGCAGCTCTGGAAGCAGAGCCCAGCAGGTGGGCCGCTTCCTCCAGGAGCCAGGGTCCTCCCAGAGAGAACAGCCTGGTCAGCAGAAAAACAAAGTTTCTGATCACCTGTTCACTACAGTTGAAGTGTTACTCTGTCAAATATTTATTCCTGTGTGACATGCTAGATTCCCATGGATGTAGCTGATCATTTGTATTTTGTTAATATTACCTAACTTTACATAAACTCTATCATAATAAAATATTTTTTGCATCACCCTTTGCATGCTGTGAATGTGGTTTTGTTTAATGGAGAGATGTATGCAAAATATGCACTTAGGTTCAAAGTCAGAAACTGATCAGTACCCTAGAGGGTTATAATGGAGTTTTTGTTTGGTTTTACTTTTATAATCTGCCTTTTTTTTTTCACAGTGTTTTTAAAGTTTTGGATTCATTGTTAGCATTTTAACATCAAGATTTCACACAAAATCTGGATTTCACATGTTGACACACAAAGTGTAGTCAGAAATATTTTACATCCTTGAGGCCGGCCCGGTGGCGCAGCAGTTAAATGCGCACGTTCCGCTTCTCGGCAGCCCAGGGTTCGCCGGTTCAGATCCCAGATGCGGACATGGCACTGCTTGGCAAGCCTTGCTGTGGTAGGCGTCCCACATATAAAGTGGAGGAAGACGGGCATAGATGTTAGCTCAGGGCCAGTCTTCCTCAGCAAAAAGAGGAGGCCTGGCAGCAGATGTTAGCTCAGGGCTAATTTTCCTCAAAAAAAAAGAAGAGACATTTTACATCCAGAATCTAAGGTTCATTGGCTCAGTTACAGAAACATTCAAGAGGGCAAAGGGACAATCAGAAATAGCAATGAGGAGGGACTACAGCCTCCCATACCTGCCCTTTTATTAGCACATTTATTTATGATACAGTTTTACCTTTTGTTTACGAAAGATCTTACATTCCAACTACAACCCAAAATTTCACAAAATAATGCACCATTACTAGGATATACTCTGATGTCTCCATTCTATTTCACTTTTTAAATTCTAGTTGTGACTCATTAAATAAATTTAAAATAAGAAACTGGATTTTTCCCCCTAATATTGCCACAGCCTTTGGAATGAACTATGTGACAATGACTGTGTGGGAATCCAAACTTTTATTCAGATAAACAAAAAATTAAAAGTCTGACTCTACCTATTAGAAATCCACTTATGCAGTTTATAAAACTTAGCAAAAATCAAGTTGAGTGCAGACATATAAAGGATACATATTTTCACTGTGCTACTCCAGTTGTTTGTTTCAATAATTTTTTTGCTCATTTAAAAAAATTACTCAGAAGTACACAGTTTTTGGACACTGGTCTAATATAATAGCTTTAACACACTACTTTTTTTTAAAGCTATGTAAATGCAATTTTAAAAATCAGTTGGCATTTGGAAAATCCAACACCCTTTCATGATAGAAACACTCAACAAACTAGATCGAAGGGAACTCCCTCAGTGTGGAAAACCCACGGTAACCTCACACTCAGTGAACGGCTGAAACCTTCCCCCTAAGACAGGAACAAGACAAGGGTGTCTGTTTTCTCCACATCTGCTCAACACTGTACTGGAGATTCTAGCCAGAGCAATTAGGCAAAAAAAGGGAAAGGCATCCATATCAAAAAGGAAGAAGCAGGGGCCGGCCCCGTGGCCGAGTGCTTGGGTTCTCGCGCTCCGCTTCAGTGGCCCAGGGTTTCGCCGGTTTGGATCCTGGGCGCGGACATGGCACCAGTCACCAGGCCACGTTGAGGCGGCGTCCCACATAGCACAACTAGAAGGACCCACGACTAAAATATACAACTATGTACTGGGGGGCTTTGGGGAGAAGAAGGAAAAGTAAAATCTTAAAAACTATTGTAAAAAAACATAAAACTCTGCAGATGACATGATCTATATAGGAAATCCTAACGATTCTACCAAAAAAAAACTTAAAACTAATAAGTTCATCAAGTTTGCAAGATAGAAGATTCATATACAAAAATCAGTTGTATTCCTATACACTAGTAATGAACAATGTGAAACAAATCAAGAAAGCAATTCCATTTGTGGTAACATCAAAGAGAATAAAATACTTAGGAATAAATGTTCATGGATTAGAAGACACAATACTGTTAGACTGGCAGTGCTCCCCGACCTCATCTACAGAATCAACACGACCCCATCAGAATCGCAGCTGCTCTTGCAAAAGTTGATCAGCTGATCATAAGATTCATATGTAAATCTAAGGGGACCCAGAATAATCCAATGAGGAAAAAGAACAGTTAGAGGACTCATGCTACTGGGTTTTAAAACTTACTACAAAGCTTCAGCACTCAAGACTGTGGTACTGGCATACGCACTGACACACAGATCAGAGGAACAGAACCAAGAGTCCAGAAAGAAGCCCTTACATTTATGATCAACTGACCTTCAACAAGGGTGCCAAGGCTATTCGGGGGGGAGAGAATAACCTTATCAACAAGTGGTGCTGGGACAATTAGCTGTCCACATGCAAAAGAATGAACTTGGACCCCTCCTTACACTATACAAAAAAATGAACTCAAAATGGCTCATAGACCTATATATAAGAGCCAGGATTATAAGACCCTTCAAAAAAACAGAAGCAAATCTCTGTGACCTTGGGTTGGACAATGGTTTCTTAGATATGACACCAAAGCACAAGCAACAAAAGTAAAAACCCTGAACTATATCAAAACTAATAATACATGATACAAACAATACCATGAAGAAAGTGAAACCATCACCCAAAGAATGGGAGAAAATATTTGCACATCATATTTCTCATAAGGGACTTGTATCCAGAATATACAAACAGCTCTTATAACTTGACAATAAAAAGGCAACCTGATAAAAAACATAGGGAAAGGATTTGAATAGACATTTCTCCAGAGATGATGTATAAATGAGCAGTAAGCACATGAAAAGATGCTCAGCATCATCAGTCATCAGGAAAGGCAAGTCAAAACCACGGTGAGATGCCACCTCGCAGCCAGCAGGTTGAGTTAGACAGCCAGTGTTTTGTTGGCGAGGATGTGGAGAATAAGGAACCCTCATACTTTGCTAGTGGGAAGGTAAAATGGTTCAGTCACTTTGGAAAACAGTCTGGCAATTTCTCAAATGGTTAAACAGAGTTCTACGTCCCAACAGTACCACCCATAGGTATATACCGAAATGAAAACATATGTCCACACAGATACTCGTACATGAATGTTTACAGCATTATTCATAATAGCCAAAAGGTGGAAACAACTCAAAGGCCCATCACCTGATGCATAGGTACGCAAAACGTCTATCCAGACACTAGACTATTACTCAGCTAGGAAAACAAGTGAAATGCTGACACATGGATGGCCCTCGAAAACATTATGCTAAGTGAAAGAGGGCAGATACCATATGCTACACATCGTAGGATCCCATTTATGTGAAATGTCCACACAAGTAAATCCGCAGAGAGCAGCCGACAGTGACTGTCAGGGCCCGGGCGCGGGGGAACGTGACCGCCCTCGGATGGGAGGGCTTCTTCTGGGCTGATGAAAACACTCCCGAATCAGACGGTGATGGTTGCACAACTCTGTGAGTAGACTAAAACCACCAAATTGCATCCTATAAAAGGGCAAATGTTATGGTCTAGGAATCTCAGTGAAGAGCTGTGTAAAAAGTAATCAGTTGCTTTACGACCAATTCAGTAGAACCAACAGGGCGCCTCCACCGGCAGCGCGGTGGCGGGTTCGGCCTCACCTGACAGCTGTGGGGGACTGTGCAGGCCAGATGCTGCCACCACGACAACTTCCTTTTTAATCACAAGGGTTGCAAGAGTTTAAAATATTGTAAAGTGAACTGTTCCAGTGTTTAACTAACTTTGCACAACATCAGGTTTCTTGTTCAGCCGCTCACTGCCCCGGAGTTAAAAGGACAACCTGGCCCCAAGAGCCGGAGGCTGCCAGCCCCCCGCGGGGAGCGGGGCGCAGGGAGAGGCGCGGGCTCCCGACTCCTCCAAGGGCCGGAGGGGCGGCCCCGCCGCTGCTGTCCACACTTCTCTGTGCACCGAGACCGAGCCTGGTGGCAGAGGCAGCTTGAGGCGACTCGGCCGCACGGAGCCCCCAGCCTCCTCCTGTTCCATGCTCACGCCACGGCCTCGTGTCACCTACGCGAGGGACGTGAGACAGGGCGGACCCACAGTCGGAGGGGGTCTCCTCAGCAGGCCCACCCAGGACCGGACTAGCTCCCAAATGACTGCCGCTGAGGACAGAGCCACTTAGCCTGAGTACCTCCTGAATCGACTCAAGATAACTGCTTAGTCATTTGCTCTTACAGACCCCGAAATCTGGGGCCTCACCACAGCTCCTGGCGTGATGGACGCTTCCCCACAGCCTGAGCGCCCTGGCCTGGCCGGCCGGAGCGGGGTGGCCGCCCGAAGGTCAGGGCCCGTCCTTCTGTGCGAGCACCTGATCCAGAGACCAAGAGGTCCGGCTCGCAGGCGGATTTTAGTGCCACCCTTCCTCAGCCCCGTGCCCTCAGGAGGTTTCATTTTACTGCAAGTTCTTTACAGAAAGGTTAACTATTATCTGAAACTTGGTTAGATTCAATTTCCCACCCCTGCTAAGATGATGAAAATAAAATAAACAGTGTAAATAAAATTATGTTAAATAAAAAATGAGATGAGATCATTTCACCATTTTTAAAAGATGGATGTAGAGAGCTCGACTAGATTACCTGCATACCGTCACCAATACATCTGATACCGTGCTCCACGTTCGAACCCCAGCCGGCTTCTAGAAGAAAGGGGTGCGATCACAGCAGAGACCCAGCACCACTGGGGGCGTGGGCTGCACGTGTGCCCCGCCATAGGCAGGTGAGGGGAGAGGAACACGGCTGGAAATCGTACCCCAATCAGCGTGGACACCCTGGAACACCCTTGAGGAGGTCCCCAGGCACCACCTTCAGACCCGACTCCTCTCTGAGAGGCTCGTATCTTGACCAGTGGTTGCTAATTAGCTGTATACTGCCCCCCCTAAAAAAGCTGTATTTGTTTAATAAAGAGCAGCCATGAGCTGAATGATGGAGCAAAAGGCAAGACACGTGGCACTAAGATTCCAGAGTAAGAACACATTTATTCAAACACACGAGAAGGCCACACAGCCTCGCCGTTCCGGAGACGCACGGCAGCTGCTCCTGAGCGCTTCCAGAGCACGCACTGCTGGGGTACACGCTCAGGTGCTGAAACACGTTTACTGCAGACCATTTCCTGTGATTTCCAATCCACATACTATACTTTATAGTGTCAATTAAGTAAGAAATATTAACTTGAGTTTACTTGCTTAACAACATAAATCAAAGGTAACTTTAAAAAGGGAAAACATGCAACACTAACTGGTCTCCCCAGGCGGGATGAGGAGTGTGACACCCACAGACACGCCACGTGGACCTCAGGACGGGTCACACAGCATGTCACATACGGAAATATGACAAGGCGGGAACAACTGCTCAGATGATGTTTGAGCTAGCTCTATCTAAAGATACATATTATGCCAAAGCAGACTTGGAACACTTCACAGGTGTCAGATCCCTGTTCTCCTGAGTACCTGCGAGGGCAGCACCCTGGGCTGAGACGGGCGGCTCACAATGATGACACTGAGCCAAGAGTGTGACCAGCCGAGTCCGCTCCTGTTAAAGCCAAAGTCACTTCTAAATGCACAACACAACTCCCCTGAAGGTGAGAAGGTTCAAATTAAAAGCATAACTTCTGGAAACAGAAGCAGCTTCTGGCTGCTTCCCGCCCTTCCCGCCAGCCCGCGCGTCCACCCGAGAGGACAAGGGGCTGCTGGGGGTGCACGCGCGTCTCGTGGGTCATTTAAAGGGGGCCTGCTCCCGCCCACCGGCGCTCCCCTCTCGGCTCCCTTCCTAACTTCTTTCCTTTCCCTCTTCTGACTCAAGGCCACCAACCAGCCACCAAAGAGCTAGTGACAGCGCGACGAAGAGACTGTCAACGTCCCGCCGGTCCCAGGCTCCAGCCATGCTGCGCGGGGAGCAGCCAGTGCAGCAGAGAAGAGTAGCGTCGCTGGGGACGCCGAGGCCAGCCTGGCGGAGGCCAGATAGGCGACTCTAGAATCAGGAGACCCAGTCGGCTCTTCGGCCCCAAAACAGGGCCCGGCCTCTTCCGTGGGGCAGGAGGAGAAGCCGACTCTGAACCCGGGCCCCAGACAGGGTCCATGGACGCCACATGTCAGAAGCTGCAGCTGAACTGGCTTGCGGTGGGGGAGCCCAGCCTCGCCAGGCCGCTCCACGCTCCAGGCAACGAGAAGTCAGGCGCAGGCTCCCCAACCCCGAGGGCCCCTCAAGACTCTGGGCCTGAGGGCTCAGAGGGCCAGCCGCGTCCGGCCGGGGCACAGGCAGCTCCGGCTGGTTCCGCCCAGAGGTCCCGAAACGCCCGCGCCAGCTCTCCCCGCCACCTCGGACGGCAGCGACGGCGCAGCTTCAGTGGCTTCTCTTCTTTTGTGGGAAGAAGGTATACTTTGTAGGGTTAAACTCTTCCCAAATGCGCTCAAATTCTTCCAGAAAAAGCCTCACATACTCTTCATCCTCCAAAATCAAAACGTTTTCTCTGTTGTTCTGAATGGCTTGCGTGGTCCAGTTGAGGGAGCCGGTGATCAGCACCTTCCTGTCCACTATTGCGAACTTGTGATGCATGTAGCCGAGGTCCTGGTCGTGCCGAACCTGAATACCTGCAAAAGGGCAAGGCAACCTTCATTACTGCCTCTTGCAACACTCCTCATTCAAGCACCTGAGCTCCTCCCCCAGTGTGGACCATGTCTAGCAGCTACTGATTTTGCTGTCTGTTTCCGATTTGGTGGGAAAGGGGAAGCCTGTCATGCTCGGACACGTGGTGGCCGCTGAGCCCGACAGTGACCAGGGGGTAACGCGGACCATTCCAGCAGGGGAGGGGCACACACAGTCCGAAGGGGTGCGAGGGCAGTAGGGACCATGGCAGACATGGAAATACTGCTCTCTTAACATTCAACTTCCTGGAAACAGCCCTCCTGCACCTAGCCCTGGGATGGGGTGAGGTCCCCACGCTGCCTGTGGAGTCTAAAGCAACCAGCATGGCCGTTCAGAGAGGCCAGCTCCAGGAGGACCAGTCAGCAATGCAGACAGAGGCCACTGAGCAAAGACCGTTTGCTGGGTTACCCTGCCTCTGAGCTCTCACTGCTGCCCAGGACTGGGGCGCCCCTGTAGACACCGCCCAGGCCGGAACACACCCCATTTGTAAGGAGAGAGCACGAGCCCGAGGGAGGAGCGCAGAAGCGAGGGAATTGTGTCCCCTGAAGCCAGTCAGCTTTGGCCAGGTGAGCTCCCAGCTTGCACCCAACCTCTCTGACCTCTGAGGCACGAAGAGCCCTATTTGATATAAAAACGAATTATTCTCCCTCACGTGGCCCTGTTTCCTTCAGCAAAGATCCTGTAATCCTTGCCTTTTGTTTTACTATTTGCCCCCTCCCTCCCCCACTGTTTTCAAACTCCCGGTGGGCAGGACCTTGTTTGTCGGTCCACCTGGGCGTCAACCCTGAAGAATGCTTGCCTGGATATGTATCTACAAGGAGATCGTTAGAAATCTGATTTAAAAGACACATTTAAAATGGCTGCCCTGTGGCCGAGTGGTTAAAGTTCCGCGTCCTCCGCTTAGGTAGCCCAGGTTCGTGGGTTTGGATCCTGGGTGCAGACCTACTCCACTCAGCAGCCACGCTCTGGAGGCGTCCCACATACAAAGTAGAGGAAGACTGGCACAGATGTTAGCTCAGGGCTAATCTTCCTCAAGCAAAGAGGAAGATTGGTAACAGATGTTAGCTCAGGGCCAATCTTCCTCAGCAAAAAAATTTTTAAAAATAAATAAAATAGCTGGTTTGCAATAGGGTTGCCAGACTTAGCAAACAAAAATACAAGATGTCCAAGATAAACAACAAATAACTTTTGAAGATAAGTATGTCCTCTGAAGTTTAGTCCCAAGACTAAAAGTGACTCAGTGCTTACCTGAAGTTCACATCTACCTGGGCACCCTGTATTTTGCCCAGCAGCGCTGCCTTGAACACCACGCCCTCCTTGCCCCCTGATCCCAGCACCACTCCTGCTCACCCCAGTAACCACACGCCAGCAAAGCCCGTCAGCTCGACCTTCCAGACAGATCTCGAATCCCACCACTCCTGACCACCTCCAACACTGCCGCAGGCTCTGCCACCCACCGCCCAGCTCCCACTCTGATCCCACATCACCCATTCCTGCCCGGAACCCAAGCTCCTCAGAGCAGCCTGGACAACCTCAGCGAGGCCTTCTGTCCCTTCTGCCCTGCTGACCAACCCTTAAGGGCTTCCCACCTCACAGAAGGGGGTCCAAACACCCCTGCATGAAGCCAGCCCTACTCACCTGTGTGCCCCCTAAGCCTGCGTGCCTTACACGCCTGTGTGCCCCCGGCCTCTCCTCATTACTGCTTCCACCTTTGGCCACAGGGGTGCTCTTGCTCGTCCTCAGACACATGAAGTTGGCATCTGTACTGCTGCTCCTCAAATGAGAAGGCTCCCCCTCCACTGACCCCCGACAGCGCGAAGCTCTGCTCTGCCGTCACACGCCCCCAAGCTGCTGTCCCCACCCACCCCAGGCCTCCCACACTACTTTTTTACGTTTCCTGACCCTTCTTCCTGCCTAAATATTCACACTTCAGTCAGCTTCCCCACTGGGACCGTTCACCGCTGTGCCCAGTGCCTGGAACCAGTCCTGGCCAACACAGCACACAGATCTCTTTCTTAAACAGTTGAGTGATGGCTGGATGCCATCAGAGGGGAATCGAGCCTTAGATGCAGTCTGCTGGCAGTGCCCTTTCCAAACCTGAGGCTCTACAATTCTCTAGAAGCTAGCTAACTAAAAGGCCCAGGCCCATCCAAGTTGTCCCATGAAAAGGACCCGCAGATGTAGGATAACGCGTGACCACCAGGAAGAGTGGAAACGCACATCCTCAATATTTAACTAAGTTTGCAACTCTGCCCACATGGGATGCAACAAGCGCCAGAGGACTCACGTGCCTTCTCATCTGGAGAGCCCTGAGCACAGTCCGGAAGCTGAGCCCGACTCCCGGCGCCCCCGCGTCCTCCCAGCTCAGCGAGAGGCCCATGCGTGTGCCCTGTAACAGGCCGTGAAGGGTGCTGCACAGCTAGGACAGCGCTCACCGGCTCCACACACTTTCCAGGCATGGGCTACCAGAGCTGACAGGTCAGAGGCTGGCGAAGGAGCGGCTTTCCTGGGTGCCCGAGGGATCGAGGGAGGCGCCAGGTTCAGACCCCAGGCAACTGATGCACGAACGCCAGGGAGGGGGCTCTCGGGACGCACCGCGACACCAAGGCAGAAGGATGGAGCAAAGAATTCACAGGTAAGCCAGGGTCTCAATTTAGACCATCTTAAACTTATTCCTGTCTCCCGGTTCATCTGCCCCCACTCCAGTGAGAGAGGTGGGCCAGTCTTCCCCGTCCTGCAGCTGGAGAAGCAGATTAACTGCTCACCAACTAGACATTTTAGCTCCACTTCTGAGTATATTGTTTGTATTCATTTCAGAAGGCCCAGCATGACATTCACTAGCAGGTTCAAGGTGAAATGGCTTTTTCTGTTAGTCCCTGAGGCCTGAAGCCCTCCACTGCCCTCTGAGAACCTGCTCCCATGAGCAGGGCACTGCCAGGCCTCCGGCTCTCAGCCAGCCTGTCCCCCTGGCCCGCAGAGTTGTTGGCAGCCTGGCCCTTCATTTCCTGAGTGCTGTCAGACGAAGCCATCCTGAGTTCCGGCTGCAAGAGTCAAAACATCAGCTGGCACTGCCACAGCCTTTTCCCACTGAGTCCCAAGGCCAGCGTGGCTCCCGGAAACGTGGGGAATCGCAGGGGCTCCGTCCACGTTCCAGGTGTCCCCAGGCAGGCCCCGGCCTCTGGGAATCGCCCAGACCTTTCTCCACTAGCTGGGAACACACAGCCCGCTCCCTGCCTGGGGTTCACACTCAGATCCAGGGCCTAAGCCCCTCTGCACAGACCCGCCCCTCCCAAGTAGGGCTCTTTACAGACAGCCCTGGAGCTTCTCTGGCGTGAAACCATCCTGACTTCACAAGGCCACCACGAGAAAGAAACCGGGTGTCCCCTGTCCTCAGACCCGGGCCCCCAAGTATCCACCTTCGACAATCTCCCCTCCTCCTACGACCCCGGGGGTCAGATCATCCTCCGCGCCTGGGGCCCCTCCCCAGAGAGCTGCTCGGACCTCTGCCCCAGCCTACCTGCCTTGCGGAGCAGACCGATCTGCGAGCCGTTGAGGGCCATGTAGTCGCAGTCGGTGACGACCCGGACCCGAACCCCGCGCTGGTGCAGCAGCTGCACGGCGCGGCCCAGCTGCGGGCTGGAGAAGGCGAACAGGCAAAGCTCCAGGCTGGTGCGGGCGGCCAGCAGGGCGCACAGCAGGCGGCTCAGCGAGCTCTCGCCGTGGGGCAGGCTGCACGGGCAGCCCGCGGGGGCCCCCGGCGGTCCGGCGCCGCCCGGCGCCTGCAGCAAGGCCTCGGTGCAGGTCACCTGCGACGGGAAGAAGAGCACCTCGCGCCGGCGCCGCCGCCGCCCGGCCTGCAGCCAGCGCAGCACCGAGGGCAGCGCCTCCAGGGCCACCGCGAGGCCCACGGCCGCCGCGGCCGCCACCTGCCACCGTAACCGCCCCATGCCAGCCGGCCGCCGAGGACGCCCGTGGCCCCACCGCGCCTGCGCGCCCGCCGGCCACGTGCACGCGCCGCGCTTGCGCCCCCGCGGGCCACGTGTGCCCACCACCCACGGCGCCTGCGCGCCCGGCGGCCACCAGGCGGCGGCCACCAGGCAACCGCTGCCGTCGGGGGCCTCGGTGCTGCGCGCCTGCCTCGTGCCTCGTGCACCGGGCCCGCCGGCCGTTCCTGCCGCGCACCGCCCGCCGTGGCGGGAAACTGCCCTGTGCGCCCACCACCCCGACAGCACCCGCTGCCCGCAAAGCCTGCAACAGCCCGGTCCTCCTCCCTTCGGAGGCGACAAAGCAGTGCGAACCTCTCGGTTCTCTCCTTCCCTTTTGCCGTGGGGGTGCGGGGCTGGGAGAAGGGTCTGGACACACAGAGAGAAAGAATGTCATTAACACTTAGCTGGTGGCAGGATTTGAACCCAAAGTGCTGGAAGCAGTGGTGTCATGGGGACGGGCCCCAAGTCCAGCGTTAGGCCCTTCGTGTTTCTTCTGACCCTCCCAGTGTGATGTTTTGCTGTTTGAAGGTGCCTGTTCTGCTCCCCGCGTGAACAGAGTGGACAGGGAGAAGTCCATGGTCTTGACTTAGCAAGCACTGGGCCCACTGTATCACTTGGGAGGGGCTGTTAATTTCCACAGGGAGAAAAAAGAAAAGAAAGGGTAAGAATTTTTCGTATTTCCTCTTTCCTGAATCCTGCTTAGGAATTTTCAGGGCAAAAGCGACGTCTCCCTGTGGGCTTTACCTGGAGATGACAGCCTACTCTGCAGTGTCCTTCTTGTAGCCGGCTGGTGGTCTCCCTGACTTCACCTGTTAAAAATCAAAACCCTGGATGGAGGAAAAGAAGGAGCTGGAAAACCATGTTTTGACTGGAAACTGTAGGCTAAACACAAAAGGAACTGCTCATAAACACTGTCCCCTAGTTAGTGCATTTATTTCCCAAGGGGACAACAGGCTAACAATCCTGAAGCTACTGTACACGTGCACTAGGGTTGAAGAATTAGTAACTGGCTGGCAGGTAGCAGGAGCCAGGGCACTCTCTCTTGGACAGAGAAGATGGAGAGAAGCACGGGGAAAGGCCGGAACGATCCCTGTGGGACTGGATGGGAGTCAGAGACAGCAGTGGGAACTCAGGTTTAGCTTAATATGTATATTAATAGACATAAAATGTCAGCTTTGACATACGTATAACACCTACTTCAGTCCCTTGGGAGGCCCAGAAGCAATGAAAGCCAGCAGGAATGAGCACACCTAGCTCCCAGATCTTGGTTTCTAAGTCCCACTCTCCAGTAAAGGGAACTAGAGGTCCTTGGAGAAATGACTGATTCCAGGACTGGGCAGGGAAAATATAAGATGAGCTTGAGGCATCTTGTAGTACCAGAAAGTAAGGAAGTACTCAAAAAACAGAAAGATGGCAGCATGTACAAAGGACACAGGTGCCAACCTGAAAGAACTCCCAGTGGCCCAACTGGAAAAATTTGAGGAACAAAATAACAGTATTGGATAATAACCCCAGTACAAAATAAATAAACATGATGAAATTGAGGATGAAGGAGCTGAAATTTCCCTGGATTAGGGTGAGACTATGCCTTGTACTCACAGGATGATGTGGGAAACAAAATAACCAGTTTCTGAGCTCGCCTTGCAGAAGAGCAGGAGGCCGCAGTTAAGAGAGGAGCTTACTAGCAAGTCCACCGGACTGAGCATCCTGCAGGGACATTGAGAAGCTAAAATGACTGGTTGTAAACTTGAGACATCGAAGACTAAAAATCCACCACGTGCAACACATCGAACGAGAGGCACTCCTGTGCGGAGGATTGGGAACTTCAGCCCCAAGGCCATGTGCTCCCCCTCCCCTACCTAAAACCCCAAAGAAAAGCCCTGCCTGTAGCTTTTTGGCGGGTTCGGAATCGTAGCATTAGCTGCCCTCTCTCCTTGCTCAGCGCTTTGCAATAAAATTCCTACTTTCTCCCACTCCACCCGGTGTCAGAGATGACTTGCTGTGTGACGGGTGAGCAAATCACTGCAGGTTTGCTGTCAGAGTCTGTACTGATATAAATAAGTGACTAAATAAATGAGAGAGAGAAGACACATCTTCTTACAGAAGAATTCCAGGTAATATATGTAGATAGCCCCACACACAGGAAGGGGAACTAAATCTCCTGCCCGTTTGAGGCAGACTCCTTTAGGGCGGGCTGGACTTGGTGACTGTGGTAGGGAAAGCAGAAAAATAAGCTTTACACGGAGAAAACTGGTGGACGCCACCTTACCCAAGTGAGAGTTAACATCGCCAGAGACGTTACGTGGATGTCCTGTCCCCCTGAGATGATGTGGTGAAGAGGGCGCTTCACCTCTGGCATTCTTTCCCAAAGCTCAAAACCCCAGTTCGATCATGAGAAAAAATCAGAAACCCAGAGTGGAGGACGTGTTATCACATTCCACGGGATTTTCCAAGGCTGCCAGGGTCATGAAAAAAAAGGAGCAACTTGGAAACCGTCACAGACCATAGGAGAGTGCAGAGACAGGACAATTGAATCTAGTGTGGTGCCCTGGACAGAACTCTGGAATAGAAAGATGATATTAGTGGAAAAACTGCTGAAATCCAAATCAAGTCTAGAGTTTAACGGTAATGTGCCAACGTCAGTTTCTTTGCTTTGAAAAATGTGCGACAGCAACGTAAGATGCTAACGATAAGGGGAACTGGGTGAAAGATGTAGGGGACTTCTATTTGCTGACTTTGAAACTTTTTTGGTAAGTCTAAAATTATTCCTAATACAAAAGTTTATTAAAAATGTTAAATGTGCACCTTCCATAGGATCCAGTTATCCCACTCGTAGGTATAACCCTAGAGAAATGAAAGCTCAGGTCCATACAAAGGCTTGTACACAAGTGTTCATAGCAGGTTTGCTTGTAATAACCCAAACCTAGAAACGACACAAATGCCCATTCACGAATAGATAAACTTTTGCTTGGCTATACAATGGGATACTATTTAGCAATAAAAAGAAAGAAACTGCTGATATATACCACAACGTGGATGAACTTCAATTATGCCAAGTGAAAAAACCCACACAAAAAGAATACGTACTGTATGATTCCCTTTATATAAAATTCTAGGAAATGCGAACCATAGTGACGGAGAGCAGATCAATGCCTGTCTAGAGACAGGAGGAGAGGCAGGAGGGTTACAAAGAGATGTGGGGTGATGGCTGTGTTTGTTATCTTGACGGTGGAGATGGTTTCACGGGCATACGTATGTTAAAACTTGTCAAATTGTATGGTTTTAGTAAGTATAACTTCTTGTATGTCAATTATACTTCAGTAAAACTGATTTTTTTAAACTAGAGCCCCTGAGTTTAATTCTGACTCCCCCAGTTCCCGGCTGCATGGGCTAGGGCCAGTTGCTTCATCACTTGGAGCCTCGCTTTCTTCATCTAAAATGATAATAAAGAAAGAGAGGCACTTCTTGTTATGGCAGTGTAAAGAGGCAGTCACTTCCTCTCTGCAAAAAATAGACAGAAAACTGGGGAAAACAGTCACGAACAACCACCTCAGGGCCCTGTGAATCCAGCAAAGGCCGATGACAAATGGGAAGCGTCAGTTCTGAGACACTGCTGGAGCTGAACGGGGGCAGTAGGAGGCTGTGGCCCTGTTAACTGAAGCCACTCCCACTCCTGCACCCCCAGCTTGGCCGGCAAAGGTGGTAGGATTTCCAGCGTGGCCTGGCTGCAAAACCTACAGATTTGCTGGCTGAAAGTGGTGGATTCAGTTAGGAATGAGTGAGGAAAACCTGCAGCCTTACTAGCCCAAGCTTCCAGTCCAAGTTGGGGTGAGCAGTAGACCAGCCAGAAATTAGAAGAGCTGAGGTATGCTCTCCACACATCTCTGGCTAACTAGGGAACCATGCATGAATGGGAGGGACCCAGGAGAGCCCAGGGAATCTGACAGCCAAGGAAGGCTTGACGGGGCTCCCCAACCCACACACAGATTGATCAGCAGAGGGTGGGAGTCCTGCAGCTACAAGCATTTGGTCACAACCTCTGCCAAAATCATTGGCTGACTCTTACATTAGGAGGACACAGGGGTGACCCCCAGGAAAAAATAAAAACAAGAGTTTTAAAAAAACTGCTGAGCAGACACACAAGTGGCCGCACACCGCAGAAGGAGAGATTCTTCAGTTTAAGTGCAGGCAAGTTTCCAAAGGACGAGAACCTCAGAAAATAAAATAGAATCCAGAGCTGCCACACTGTATCACCTAAAATGTCCGATTTTCAACCAAAGCTTACTAGACATGCAAAGAAATGGGAAAGTGTAACCCACATTGAGGGGAAGCGGCAGCCAATAGAAACTGGCTTTGAATGGACCCATATGTTGGATTTAATAGAAAAAGACTTCAAAGTAACTCTTATAAATATGTTCAAAAAATTAAGGAAAATACGAAGACATTGTCTTTGAATGCTGATTCATTGAATCAACAGAGACTCTCAATAAAGAAACAAATTATTTAAAAAGTCTGCGCAAACCGTCAGTGTAGGTTCATCAGTTGCAACAAATGTCCCCGTCTGGGGGGAACTGATGGTGGACAAGGCTGTGCATGAGGGCCGGGGGCGTATGGGAAATCTCTGTGTCTTCCCCTCAGTTTTGCTGTGAACCTAAAACTGCTCTGAAAAATGAGGTCTTAAAGAAAAAGTCTATGCAAACCATACATGAGATAAAAGGCTAATTTCCAAAATATGTAAGGAACTCTTACAACTCAGTAGCAAAAAAAGAGTAACTCAATTTAAAAATGGGCTAAAGATTTGAATAAACATTTCTCCAAAGAAGACATACAATTGGCCAATAGGCATTTGAAAAGATGCTCAATGTCACTAATTATTAGGGAAATACAAATCAAAACCAGAATATCACCTCACGTCTGTTAGGATGGCTATTATCAAAAAACCAAAAGACAGCAGGTATTGTCAAGGATGTGGAGAAATTGGAACCTTGTGCACTGTTGGTGGGAATC